GCTTCGGTTGCATGCGTCATCCCGACTTTTCTCTTGTTTCTTTTCTTTCTCTTTTTGTTTTTCTCTCATTTTTCTTTTTCCTTTTCTGCTTTTCCCTTTTCTTTGCCATGATCTTTCTCTCGACGCCTTATTTTCTCTTTTTGCGTTTCTTTCTCTCTTGTTTTTCTTTTATTTCCTCCCTTCATACTTTCCCCTTTTTCTCTCTCTTTTTTTCTTAGGGTTACGGTTGAATCCTTTGGAGATTGCCTACGTATCATGACCCCGCATGAATCAGACCAAGCGTAGTTCTTGCAAATTAATGCAAACATAAATGCAAGAATAAAGAAATAATTTTTGGGAATTTTCAAATTTTCATTAATAACAACTGCGGTTACAAAGCTACTAGACTATTTGTTTTTCTTTTCTCGGAAAAGGAATGTACAAAAACCAGACTCAAAAGCAAAAATACAGACTCGATTATCTAAGAATACATCAAAGCTTCAAATTCTGGGGCCCGCGGGGCATCACTCGGCATTGCCGCGGGCCTGCGTGCAAGACCTTTTTGCAATTGATCCAGATCGTCCATGACCTGGCGAACAAATATCATCACGGAGGCACAGAACGTGGTACGACTCATCCGCTCACCTGCCTGGCATTTCATGACAATATAGTTGGCAACGTTTCTGATTCTTTCCCTGATTTGGCCCTTTTCTTGGAGTAGCCGACTTATCTGTTGGGTACGAGCCTCTAGCACCTGAGAATCCTGGAAGTGAAGGTCTTGTAATAATTTTATTTCCTTTTCCATCTCAGCGATTAACCCATAGCACTGTTCCCTCTCGGCCTGAAATTCTTTGTTCCGCCGAGCTGCCTTTTCTTCAAGAGTATTCATTTTTCTCTTCATGATAGCAATGGTTCCCTCATAGTTTCTCTTCATTTGTTGTACAAACTGGGCTCTTTCCTCAGTCTTCTTTGCCCATTGTGCCCGAAGTCTTGCCATGTTCCCCTCGGATTTTTCCAACTCTTCCCGACTGTCCAGGACTTGCTTCTTTAACCCTTTTATCAATCTCTCGTCGGATAGACTTCTTTCTCGATTCCCGGCATCTATTTTCATTTGCTGAATTTGGGCCTTGAGAGCTTCATTCTCCTGGGCCAATTTCTTTTTATCACCTTCATCAGCTGCGGATTGCAAGGTGTTTTCAAACCGGAGCTCCTGAACCTGTTTTTCCAATGCTCCTATTCAGGCCCTGTACTCCTTTTCTTTGGCTGACCAATCCCATTGCACCTAGGCCTCGTTAGTGAATTGTTGTACATGTGGCCTTTTGGCGGGTCTCTCAGGAATTTGAAATCTTTTACCAAACCAGACCAAGTATTTGGGATCTACCTCATCTCTGGCTCGGTCATGTACTATAGTCTTAGGCTCAAGGTACCTGCACTCATTCCATATCTTTCGGATTCTGCCTTCAGGGAATGCAGCTTTCGGTCCTAACTCGATGACTTGCCCACTCAGATCTTCATCGTTGTGCACTGTCTGGAATCTTCCAAATTGTCACAAAACTCGGTAAGGAGCATAAAGCTGTATGCTTCGAATACCCATCAAAAGAATATAAGAGACCTCCGCTGATGTGTATACAGCCTCAGTAGCAGGAAGCCATCCATAAGCCCATTCAACTTTATCTGCGGTCAAGGATCTTAAACATGACGACCACCAGGCCTCTGTACCCTCAGGGAACTCAATACCCATCACCCGAGTCCCGAATTCTGCAATACAACTCAATCCGGTTAAACCGTAGTTCATATAGCCTGTGCGGTGAGAGAGATGTTCCTGTATCCACAATTGTAAGAGCAAATTGCAACCTTGAAAGAATTTCTCCCCTTCCCGACATTTGGTCAAAGCTAGGTACATTTCTGCTACAATCAGGGGAACCACTGTGCTAGTAGGTTTTTTCATGGAAACATCTAGCATCCCTACCAGGCCGAGGTCTATGTGACCATCTTTTCTTGGACAAATTATCACTCCCAAAAAGGCTACCATGAAGGCTAATCCCCGTCGAGCTTCCCATTTGTCTTTATTTCCAGCATGTGTCAATCCTGTGTTGGGTTCCTCGAAACCTTTGGGGTTACCATACCGGTGATATAAGAAATGCAATGTACAACACCCTTCCGCCAGGTGCGGGTCTTGAATATCTCGGCTGATGTTGAACAAATCCAAGAACCTATGAAGGGTTACCGGTCGTGGGGCCAATGGGTATCTACCTCAGAGGTTCCCGTTGAGACCTGCGTATCCCACAATCTCTTCTAATGTAGGTGTGAGTTCAAAATCTGAAAACCGGAATACATTACGGGTTGGGTCCCAAAATGGTATTATTGCCTCAATGATATCCTTCCTTGGTTTGATGTTCAATAAATCTACGAGACCGCCCAAACTTTTGACCACAGTATCTCTGCTTCCTTTTCCCAAATCATGCCACCACATATGGAAGTTTCAAAGGGATCTCGCTCAGGACTGAGAAGGTTTCGATGTTATTTGAATTCATCCTGCACATTTATTTAGGGGACTTTAATGATTTATTTGAAATATGGCTATTTGTGCAAAAATTCTTTATTTAGAAAACAAGGACTTGGATTTGCAAATACGGCCTTTCAGCACTTCTGGGAGGAAGATTTTAAGGCTGTGCCCGCAAACCATTTAAAAATGACTCAGGGTGGCTGTTCTTGCATAAACGGCCTTCCGGCGACAAGAATGCCATCACCCGACTTATTTATGACCGAAATCAAAGTTTTGACATTTTTTGGCTATTTTGCAAAAAGGGAGGTTGGACCCGATGAGGGTTGCCTACGTATCTCACATCCGGTGAGAATCAAACCAACGTAGTTCGGGCAGATTTGCCAAAATCAAAACTATTGTGACCAACAATTTTTCTTTCTATGTTTTCAAATATTTTCCTTTTCCTTTTTGTTTTTCTTTTCATTTTTAAAAATCCGGCAGCATTTCGGTACTATTTGGGCATTTGGATTTTCACAACAAATGGTCACCCTCACTTAGTCCTAACACTGCTTATTTTCATAATTCACTCATTTAGACAAGCCGGTCAACATGTAAAGCCGAGCAAATAAATGCGCAAGTAGCACGTAAGATGCATCAGGATAGTCAAATTATTTCAGGTCACCTGTCCTAGACGGACCCAACCCCTGTGTTGAGTCCCCTAAGTCAAATGCACATGATGCAAACAAGCGTCCTACTAGGAATCTGGCATGAGTTTTTGTTCTTATAGGTTTAAATCCTAGGTTTATTGGTCTAGACCTGGTTTACCCGAGCGGACAACTCGAGCCTAGGGGGAGGCAGCGTACCGGGGATACAGAAGCTCCGTCGGCTTTGCAACTTATCCAAACCTCGTTCTAAATGGGAAAAGACGCTAAACAGAAGAGAAGCTACATGAAGTGCACCCTTCTCCATGATGTAGAAGACTCGGAAAGAGGAAGGGATTCGCGACAGTTTATATATACAGTTCAACAAATATCAAAGCGGTAAAACATTTAGCACATATAGCATGGAACATATAGAAAAATCAAATAAAGCCAAATATAACAATTATACTAAGCTCGAATTCTTGAACCCTGAATCGAAATTCTGGGTTCGTGTCCCCAGCAGAGTCGCCAGAGCTGTCACACCTTCTTTTTATACACCTACCCCGAAGGATAATGTATAAGGGAGTTTTTCCATTTAAAGTGACATTATTCGAAATGGGATTATTTATTTATTTTTAGAGTCGCCACTTGGGATAGGATTGGTGTCCCAAGTCACCGGTTTAACTTAAATCCCAAATCGAGAAAAATTGTCGACTTCCCAATTGGAGTCTACGAACCAGAAATTCTGAATAAGGAATTCTGTTGACCCGAGGGAAGGTGTTAGGCACCCCCGGATCCCGTGGTTCTAGCACGATCGCTTAAATTATTATAAATGGCTAAATATCTGATTTTTATACATGTTCAAACCTATAGTGCAATTTTATAATTATTTATCGCTTTTAATTATTTTTATGAAAGTGAACGTTGTTTAAAAACGTGTTTTCGGATCACGTCAGATGAAATGCACCCGGATCCTCGACACATTCTTATTCAACGTTTTTGGATTTGGATTTGAGTCGCATGAAATGTACACCCGTATTTAAAAAGGTAAAATTATTAAAAAGCGCGCCTAAAGCGACTAACGGGTTATTATCTTTGCGGAGGGCCGTGGAATTCGCTAACCGGCACGCCCCGAATTCTAAGTATTTTTAATTAAGCATTTAATGAAGGCCCCGCGATTTATGTGTTTTGTTTGCGAGGCTCATCTCACTTTATTATTTAAAGACCAAACTAAAGTGACCTATGATTTTCTATTTAGTTTTTGTCTCTAAAAGAGCCTAATTAATTCACATCTATAAATTCGGGTCTCGGGTTCAAGTCCGAATTCAAACAAAAGGGAAACCCTCCTAATTTGAACCCGCTACTTAACTCGAGAACCTAAACTTATATTTGCAAATCAATCCCATATTCCTAATATAATTTAAAGGATTTTTTGATTCCAGCGTTTTTGGGCCTGCAAACCTGGCCCTATATAGGCAGAAGGAAATACAGCTTTTAAATTTGCCCAGCTTTGGGCTTCTTAAGATGACACTAGGCCCAGTTATCATTTGAATGTAAGGGCCTGGTTGTCTTGCCTCATTATTGATCTTAACTATTTCGTAAAACAAACGTACCATTTATTTAATTCAGGTGTTACTACGCAATTACTTCGTGCCTGCCATGAACTAATTAATGTGATCCACCTGGAACTTAACCAGTAGTTAATTCCAAAATTACACCTGAATCGCCAAATATAAATGGACTCCTGTGAGTTGCAATTTAAATCAGTATACAACGAACCAAGTGAATCCGTACATGACAACACATGAGTCTAAACTACAAGTTCAAATCAAATTAATACATGAACTAACGTGAAAATCTAATACATGAGTTATTGGCAGAACATATTCATGCAATTCTAAACTAACACTGTTTGAAAACACATTCACATGACTCTAAAAGGTTCAATGTTCTAATTACCGACAAATCAATACTAAACTAATGTAAGGGCAGAAAGTTCATGCAATTCTAAAAGGTCCAGCAGTCTAATTAATTACAAATCCATATATTGTTCAAATAAACAAAACTACTCTATGCCTTTAAGCTAAACAAGGAACGGGAGACTTCATAGATCAAATGTAATAATATTTCATCATTTCATATACTTCAGCAATCCTACATTGAGTCTTCACAATTGTATGAGGCCAAATGAGTACCTGGAAAGGGAACAAATGCAGAAATTGAGAGTCAGCGATGCAAGCAACAGCAGTATACAGCAGCAACTAGATCGATTTTGAGGGGGAATTCAAAAGTTGGAAATTGGGGGATTTTTCAGAGGTCCAAAAACTTGTATTGTAAGGCAAGGCAATGCCCTTTTATAGACAAAATTAGGGCTGCCTACAGATTTTCACTTTACCCCTAAGTCCCTCTTTTATTTTCAAATTTTTGCTTAGTTAGTCCTTAGAATTTTTGACTTGTTGCCTAAGTTATTATCCTAAGTTCTTGAAATTATAGCTAAGGCCCTATTCTAGAAGATTCTAGGAAATTCTATCTTAATCTACAGTATTGTTTTCTATTTAGGAATGCCTATACTACCCTTGTCCTTACCCCTAAATTACATAGCCTAATCAAACTAAACCCCAACCCTCTTACCTTGGTCAGTAACTATAATTAATTACTCACAGGAACTGAAAAGTTCAGCTAAGTCCAAACAAATCCTAAAGTTGAACTAATCACTCATCCCAACTAACCAGAACATGGGAATTGAATCTAATTAGACTGTTAATCCAAACTAAATTTATTCACTAAACAATTCAGCAATTCAAATAAAATTAAACTGAGGCCAAATTCAGTAACAATCAAGAATTATTCAATCGAAACCAAACCAAAATCAAACCAAAGCAAAAAACAGAACAAAATTAAACTAAAAGTAAAGACTAAAACAAACAGAATCAATTAACATAAAGAAAAATTAATCAAATGAGAAGAAACCTTACTGACTTAAAACGAACAATCAAAAAACTTAAACTAAAACCTAGAACACTGACTATGAATTAACAACAAGAACTACGCTTAANTAATCAAATGAGAAGAAACCTTACTGATAATTTGGCCTCAGTTTAATTTCATTTGGATTGCTGAATTGTTTAGTGAATAAATTTAGTTTGGATTAACAGTCTAATTAGATTCAATTCCCATGTTCTGGTTAGTTGGGATGAGTGATTAGTTCAACTTTAGGATTTGTTTGGACTTAGCTGAACTTTTCAGTTCCTATGAGTAATTAATCATAGTTACTGACCAAGGTAAGAGGGTTGGGGTTTAGTTTGATTAGGCTATGTAATTTAGGGGTAAGGACAAGGGTAGTATAGGCATTCTTAAATAGAAAACAATACTGTAGATTAAGATAGAATTCCCTAGAATCTTCTAGAATAGGGCCTTAGCTATAATTTCAAGAACTTAGGATAATAACTTAGGCAACAAGTCAA